ATCTGCACTTTTCAGATAGATTCACATAGATTTAACTTAATCTGTAGGTTACACTCTTCAGACATTCAAATATATTTAAATATATTTGAACATATCTAATATGTGGTCAAATTATGCATAAATATACTGGTACACATTAATGACCTCGTAGCTTCTCTAACTTTGGTTTGAAGTACAAATAAAAAATCAGAAATGAAAAATCTGTTTGGTTTCCTATACTTGAGAAAGAAAGCGCAAATTTTTGCTTTCGTTGCGCGAAAAAATAGCACTTTGCGCAATCATTTGCAAACTTCATTTCGCGCAAAATTGCGCTATTTCTCTTTTGCGTTATTCTGGTTTGCGCAATTTTGCAATGATTACTTGCCTAAAACTCTATTTTGCAACCTGATGCATGATGGCACACTGCAAATCAAGATGTGCACGATCTTTCTAAGTTTCAGTGTTGTCTTTATCTAAGTGGACCTTTGATATTTCAATCCTAAACTATGCATCAATTTCAATTTATAAATTTCTAGTTTCTGTTTTATTTATGTTTGAAGATTTTGTAAAAGTAACCAATTGAGATCAGAATCATGTATTAACACATTTTTATGCATTTTTGAATAAACCTTCCCTTGTTTAATAATTTCATGGAACTGTAAATTTTGGTCAATTTGTATTAACATGTATTGCGCAATCCGTCCGGTTTTGCGCAAATTACGCAAACAAAATGCGCTCAGAGACCACCTGGAGAAAAGGGCGGGGTTTCAAGCTAATATAACCTCCTAGCTCATGGTCAACATAGAAGTACTAAGAGGGTTTGAGTAATTCAAACCTGCTAGCTCATGATACTATTTATATATGTATGTATATCTTTGTGTGTGAATGCATTTTTATAAATAATAATGATAATGATGTATTCACCAATAAAAAATAATAATAATAATAATTATATCGTCACCAATTAAAAATGATAATAATAATAATTATACCTTCACCAATTGAAAATAAAAATGATAATAATAATAATATAAAAAAAGACAAAGAGACCTGTACACTGTACAGTATAGATTTAATTGGCATTTTTCAATTATCCGATATCAACTAAGGTTTTAAGCCGTCTCTTCACTTCCTTGTTTTTTTTTTGCGGGGGACAACCTGTACTTACATTAAAAAAAAATTTGAAAAAAAATTTCGATTTTTATTTAGCCTTTAACACCTCCCGGCCACCCATTAGTGTCCACATAAAATTTCAAGTTTCAACCTAATCTGTCCAGCCGTTTGGCCGGCTATACGCAATGTATTATATACGAATGTATATTAAAGATAATACAATACAACTCTATAATAATTCTATACAGATTGTACTTTGACCTAAACTATGCTCTTCTGGACCAAAAAGGATTTTGCCAAATACTGCAAGAGAAGAAAAATTTACATGACATGACCCAAACCCTAGTGACACTTCAAAGATGGACCGCTCTTAAAATTGCGTTGATTTCTATGTTAAAGAATTATATATTTTAAAATATAAAAATATTGCAACTTTACGCCTTTGTCCAAACATGAATAAATGATTAAAGAAGTCGAATCTCTCAAATCCAGATTATACAGGAAATGATCTGTTTCTGTGCAGAAAGTCTCGGAATCTATAAACATTCAGGCAAAGTCATGTCTGGGGAAAGTTCTTAAAACCCCCTGAAATCAATAGATTTTACTTGTCCGGGGGGAGGGCTTAGCACCCATAGCCCCCCTGACTACGCCCCTGTTCGTATAAACTAGCATGACGGACGGATTAGGCCTTGGTTCGTTTATTTAAAAATATTCATGGTTCAATGTTCAAGAATATTCTAAGAAGTTAAAAAAATTTCATAAGTGTTCATTCAAAACATTTGCTTTTTTTACACTAAGTCGAATTTTACCATGGAAGAAAATAAATGAAAAAAAAACATTCGTTTTTATTGAACTCTGAAATGTTTAGATCGTTCCTAAATTTGAAGGAACTCTGAAATGTTTAGATCGTTCCTAAATTTGAAGGAACTCTGAAATGTTTTGATCGTTCCTAAATTTGAAGGAACTCTGAAATGTTTAGATCGTTCCTAAATTTGAAGGAACTCTGAAATGTTTTGATCGTTCCTAAATTTGAAGGAACTCTGAAATGTTTAGATCGTTCCTAAACTTGAAGAAACTCTGAAATGTTTAGATCGTTCCTAAATATGAAGAAATTCTGAAATGTTTAGACCGTTCCTCAACTTGAAGGAACTCTGAAATGTTTAGATCATTACTAAATTTGAAGGAACCTTGAAATGTTTAGATCGTTCCTAAATTTGAATGAACTCTGAAATGTTTAGATCGTTTCTAAATTTTAAGAAACTCTAAAATATTTTGATCATTTCTAAATTTTAAGGAACTCTGAAATGTTTAAATCATTCCTAAATTTGAAGGAACTCTAAAATATCTAGATCGTTCCTAAATTTGAAGGAACTATGAAATGTTTAGATAATTCCTAAATTTGAAGGAACTCTAAAAAGTATAGATCGTTCCTAAATTTGAAGGAACTCTATAATGTTCAGATCATTCCTGAATTTGAAGGAACTCTAAAATGTATAGATCATTCCTAAATTTGAACAAACTCTGAAATGTTTAGATCGTTCATAAATTTGAAGGAACTCTAAAATATTATAATCGTTCCTAAATTTTAATTGGAACTCTGAAATATTTTGATCATTCTAAATTTTAAGGAACTCTGAAATGTTTAGATCGTTCCTAAATTTGAAGGAACTCTGAAATGTATAGATCGTTCCTAAATTTGAAGGAACTCTGAAATGTTCAGATCGTTTCTAAATTTGAAGGAACTCTGAAATGTATTGATCGTTCCTAAATATGAAGGAACTCTGAAATATTTAGATCGTTCCTAAATTTTTAGGAACTCTGAAATGTTCAGATCGTTTCTAAATTTTAAGGAACTCTGAAAAGTTTNAAGGAACTCTGAAATATTTAGATCGTTCCTAAATTTTTAGGAACTCTGAAATGTTCAGATCGTTTCTAAATTTTAAGGAACTCTGAAAAGTTTTGATCATTTCTAAATTTGAAGGAACTCTGAAATGTTTAGATCGTTCCTAAATTTAAAGGAACTCTGAAATGTATAGATCGTTCCTAAATTTGAAGGAACTCTGAAATGTTCAGATCGTTTCTAAATTTGAAGGAACTCTGAAATGTTTTGATCATTCCTAAATTTGAAGGAACTCTGAATGTATAGATCGTTTCGAAATTTGAAGGAACTCTGAAATGTATAGATCGTTCCTAAATTTGAAGGAACTCTGAAATGTTTGAATCATTCCTAAATTTGAAGGAACTCTAAAATATCTAGATCGTTCCTAAATTTGAAGGAACTCTGAAATGTTTAGATCGTTCCTAAATTTGAAGGAACTCTGAAATGTTTAGATAATTCCTAAATTTGAAGGAACTCTAAAAATCTATAGATCGTTCCTAAATTTGAACAAACTCTGAAATGTTTAGATCGTTCCTAAATTTGAAGGAACTCTATAATGTTCAGATCATTCCTGAATTTTAAGGAACTCTAAAATGTATAGATCATTCCTAAATTTGAACAAACTCTGAAATGTATAGATCGTTCCTAAATTTTAAGGAACTCTGAAATCTTTAGATCATTCCTAAATTTGAAGGAATTCTAAAATGTTTAGATCATTCCTAAATTTGAACAAACTCTGAAATGTTTAGATCGTTTCTTAAATGTTTATTGTTCCTAAATATCAAGGATCTCTGAAGTGTTTTTATCGTTCCTAAATTTGAAGAAACAATGAATTGTTTAGACTGTTCCTAAAATTGAAGGAACTCTGAAATGCTTACATTGTTCCTATAATTGAAGGAACTCTGAAATGCTTAGATCGTTCCTAAAATTAAAGGAACTCTGAAATGCTTAGATCGTTCCTAATTTGAAGGAAGTCTGAAATGTTTAGATCGTTTCAAACTTGAAGTAACTGCAAAAGAAGCAGCCAGGGACAAGATGATATGGTTATGTCGGTAAAAGTTCGAAAAATGTTGAAACATAAAAACATTAATCCACCAATTGCTATCTTAAAATTAAAATCCACCAATGAAAATTGAATATAATCTATTGTTTAAATTTTTTATCAAGCCCGCGGTAGTACACACATGATGTAGCGTGTAGGAAGGACAGATTATAAAAAGTTATTCTTATTAAAATATAAGTGATTTCAAGCTGCAGGAAATTCTTGAATAAGTGCAATCAAAATATTTTGTTGAATGTTTGTTGAATTTTACAGAAACTTTTAAATTAAAAATCTTATTTTTCCATACATAGAGTCAAGAGTGTTAAAAATTTTAAAAATTGTTAAGTTTCTAAAATTTCTCCTCGCAAATATTTCTACACTGACTACACTAAACCTGCTAATTATAAGGTATACAATACAGTCTACAGGATCGTCTACCTCATTTAACATCTGAAAAATGTGGCTCATGGCTGCGGAAGATAAAAAGCCAAAATGTGGCATGGAAGGGAAGATTTTGTGGATTATGGCCGGTCGCTTGTCTTCCCCAGCTCCTATTATGATTTTTGATTTTGGTCCAAACGAACGTTGATCCCAATAACCATTAGTCCAATCGATAAAACACCTATTTTACATAATAAAGTCGTCTTTAAAAGTCCTCAAAATGAAAGATAAATAGAAAACCGCGGCATTATAGGCAAAATGCGCAGTATTTCTAATAATATTTAAAAAGTTTTAAAGCAAATGGCAGACAAACATTAACAAACGATTTACCAATCCCCAAGAGCTATTTTTTAGACTACTATGCATTGAGTTTTTACAATTCTGAAGGGGGTTGTAACCCCACCACATTCAATAAATCCTGTATAACTTAACCAGCTCATGCAATATGCTACAGTTTGAAATATAAATAGAAAGCATATCTGGTAATTTCCTTGAGAACTGCAAAAATCATTCTTTTGGAAAATGCCAATTCTTTTGAGGCAACACATTTTTCAATTATCTTATTTTAAGAGAAGATATTTTAACAAAATGGAGACTGAAGGTTTATCGGGAGGCCTGTATGATAATGAACAAATGAAACTTTTAGAACAGGTATTATTCGATTGTTAGTTAAAATTCTTAACTAGTTTTTTTTTATATCATGACGCAACTGTTATTTGGGTCAGTCCTAGAGAATGATTATGGACCCCCCCTCCCCGAGCCAAGCGCTGCGGCCAAACTTGACATTTTATGTACATTTTTATATGAATGGGGAGGAGGGTCTAAAAATCTTACTCAAAGAAATTGCATTTTTTTTATGGGGGGGGGGGGGTCTCAGAGACTAGAGGGATATGCCCCCCTGCCCCCAAGTTTTCGTGATAAGCTAATTTTCAGGATTTTTCCTCGGAATTTGAACATATGAAAGAAGAAATGGATGAGCTGGAAGATGAAATTGAAAGGTATTTAATTAGAAATATCGTCTTTACTGACCAAATCTCCATGTGTAGTTAATCAATTATGATTCAAGATTTAAATTATTTGAATACTAGGCTTTAAGGGCGCTTCGCCGTCCATCTTTTATTGCAATTGTGAACATTTGCTGTTTGTATACTTTGTAAAACTAAAACAAATAAAACTTTCACGGATTTTCAAAAATCGGATTTTGTTAAAGGCAGATTTTTGAAAATTAAATCATCCATAAGCCTTTCCTGGGATCACGAGAGTTCCCACAAAAAGTTTGGGCCCGAGCGGTTCAGCCATTTTTACGTTTATTGGATACAAACAATCAGACAGACAACCAGGCAAAGTATGTATATAGATTTGTCGTAAAAACTATTAGACGACTGACATATCAGAAATCGGCATTAAGTATTTGTAAATTCACAATGCCTGGAAAAATCTCTTATTAAATTGCGCATTTTTCTTAGATGTTACATAGATTTTGTCGTAAACTATTTTTTTTTAGATATTACCAAGAGAAAGCTGGAGAGGATCGTGAAGGATCTATCCGTGAGCCTAGTCTGATCCTCTGCTGGTTTATTGTCGGAGTTGTAACAGTTTACGTTATATTCCTTGGATTTCAGGGGACTGTTCCCAGTATTATCAAGGATGAATTATGATATTTTATTGAAAACTAAATTTTTATTAATATTTACCAGGGGTTTATATTTGGGTGAAAATCATATCAATGATACCCTTTCTCAAAAATCTTTCTTTCTCAAGCTCAATTTGGTAAACAAATTATTTCATAAAAAAAATACATTTTATGGGGCAAAATTTGTCTTCAAGAAATCTTGTAAAATCATTACAACTTCCAACTTATACAGAAGAAGGGGGGTATAAAACAAAGTTATAGCCCTACTTTTGATGTATTCTTTTATTAAACGTTAAAGAACTGAGCCAAAGATTTATTTCACCTTTATCTGAAACATTGTGTTAATGTTCATTTGTAGTCTGGATAAAAACTGATCTAAAAATATGACAAAATGATCAAGAATTAATCATGATGCTTTACATGAAACAAAATGTTTAAAATTTTATCACTATTTTGCACAACCTTACAATATCTAAAATTGACCCAAAGTCTCAAAAAATGTGTTACCTTGACCCGAACTATACAATGCTGACTTTCTGACTAAACTAATTTCAGAAATATAAACAACATGGCAGGTGTAGCAGCTAAAGCGTTTACCGGGCTGACCGGACTTAAAGTAGCAGTGGTGAGTTAAGAAATAAAACTTCAAAAAATTAGTTAAAACTTAATTAATTAATTAATCTGTCAATTTTTCTACCTAATATATCCACACTCTTTAAATTCGAACATATAAAACAGATTAAAATAATATTTCTAGAAGCCTTAGCTTTGGTTTAATTCATAAATAAGTTTTTTTTAGGTTATTTGTTGATTGATAGGTTGGTTGTTTGTTTGGTTAAATTGGACTGTTGGTCGTTTGGTTAGTTGATTGGCTATTTGGTCCACTGGGTCGTTGGTTGGTTGGTTTATTATTCGTTTGTTTGATAGATTGATTGATAAAAATATTTCCTAGAACCCTACTCACACACTCGGAGTATTGTACAGCAAGACACTGCGTGCGCTTGCAAAGGAAACTCAGAGAATCAGTTGATTGGAAAGATTAATAACATTTTGTCCTAAAGGGGGGGGGGGTATTTAAAAAGCATTTAATATAATTGTTATTAAGTTTTCACATAAAGACTATTTCTAAACTATGCTAAGTTTAGAAAGACTAAATAGCTATAAGCTGCTTGAAAGAATCAATGAACTGCGGAAACCAGAGTATGTATTTTCCTAAAAAATCATTTCATCCTTTAATATTGCTGAGAAACATCTTGACTGATTCTCTTTGGTCCCTGTAGATGCCTGCTGAGTACCCGTACAGGAAGCAGACTGAAACCCTGGTTGTTCAGAGAGCAGATATTATCAAGAATACTCCAACTATTATGGAGGAACAGAATCAATTTCAAAATAAACTTGTTTTAAGGGAGTGTCTGGCTAGATATGGTTGTTAAGCTTAGAATGTAGTATTGTAGATACATTTTATAGGATTCATTTGAGACCTATCAGATGTTTTCACGGTGAATTTTTGTTTAGCAAGAGCGCAAATTTAATCTTTAAAATCCTCATAGATTGTCCATTTTTGGAGTGATGATTTTGAGAATTGGATTTATATTTTAGTCAACGCTGATTATTCCTTGAGGAACTAAACTGTTTTTTACTTAATTTTCTCTTTAGATTTATAGTTGTTTTCTATTATAGTGGGCCGGGTACAAATTCTGTAAGATAAAATATTTTTATTTGTAATTATAATGCAAATATTTTCCTAAAATGTTTGAATTTACTAAAATCTTAATGGATTTTTTCCGGACCACGATACAGAAACCCAAAATGTTGCGGACTCAGATCCTGAGCACTGCTTGACGCTTGTGTCTTAGTTTTAATTTGGAGATTTTTTTTATTCCATTTTGACAGTTTTGAACAGTGCCTAGGATCCGGATCCGTTGGATCCGCAAGATTATTGCTTCCTAGATCCGGATCCGCCAAAAAATTCGAATCCACGGATCCGGATCAAAGGGTCAAAATATCAACCAAAAACTGCAAAAAAATTTACTCTCAAAACTCAAATCTGAAATATTGAAAAAAGAGAGATTTTAAAAATATCCTGATTTCTGAATGGTTCATCAAGTTTTAACATAAAATTAAGCGTAAGAAATAAGAAAAACAAATTGAAAATTCTGCTTTGTTAATAAAATTCAGTAAATTTTAAAGAAATAACCTGGATCCTGATCAATTTTTTTTCCAGTGGGGATCCAGGATCCGGATCCGAATCAAAATTAAATGGATTCTTAGCACTGGTTGAAGTAAAAAAATTATTGCTTCGCACTCTGCAGATTATAAAAATAAAATAATAATTTAATTTTTTTCAATTATTATTTTGATATTTAATGTTGCATACAGGCCGAGCAAAAGATTGGCATGGGACAAATAGAAGAAGTAATTATTCAGGGAAATGTACATTATAAACAGATTATATAGAAGTTTACTTTCTGAATTTTAGTCCCTTAAAATTGTTTTTCTTTTGATCTTGTTTAAATAGTAATTATTATCGAAGTACCGGTAAGTCTGAAAAATATATTGTGACTAAGTTAACTTATCAATGTTTTTCAATGTTTTATCTTTTTAAACATTACAGCTAAGCGTTTATTTTTTTTAATTATCCTTCCCCAGCAGAGCGGGAAAAAATTTAAAATTGGTCAAGAAAAGGCAAGTTTTTGACACTTTTTACCCAAAAACTCCTGTATTCTCCCCCATTTGACGCTTAAAACCCTGTTCTCTTTAATTTTCTTCTAAATAAGCTTTTAAAGTGGTATTAATAAATTACTATGACATAGAAGGATGGGGGGGGCTTTTGACAAAAAATACATCTAAAAAAAATATTTTTAAGGAAGGAAAAAAATTACTTAAGACACTTCTTTATTACTGATTATATATAATCTGGGTTGCAGGCTGAGAATGAGTTGGTTCTGGCGAGAAATATTCTTGAATGGAGAGCTTGGGAGCCCCTGGCTGAGAAGGCCCCTAAGGATCAGTGGAAGTGGCCCCTGTAAACTGTAAATTTAGTCCTTTCCCACCCAATAGCGTCAGCTGAACATTTTTTGACGTTATTATTATAGTTTATTCTAGTTATGTTTATTTCAGAACAAAGGATCGGTTTTGACTTCCAAAAGCTTTGGCTCACAGAGACACAAACTAAAGGTATTTAAAAAAAACTCAGATCGGAACTATTGGTGAAAAGCTCAATCAGTGAAAAAAAATCCGCTGACTTATAATTTAGTGAACTCTCATTGGTCGATTTTTCAATATTTCGTGAACTCTCCCTGTTCGATCGGTCAATGTTTCCAACAGGCCAGAAGTTTTAACTGAACCTCTGATCTTTTTCTTTAAAAATCGTAAAATGTACCTTCTATTATGATATTGTTGATAATAATTTTACAAATTAGAAAGCTTGATTTGTCTGTCACCTGTCTGTCTGTTTTTTTTGGATGTCTGACCATGACTCAAAACCCCACTGGACCGATTTGGCTCAGTGGGGAACTCATGAGAGCGATAATGTTTTAGCTCAAGGTTAAAAGTTTTGAAATGAGTGAATTGACAATTTAGTTACCAGGCAATAACTTGGGAAGATATTTGTTATTGTTCATTAAAAAGTACTATTTTTGTATTTTAGGATACTGCGCGCTCATCTTCTATTGTAACTTTCATTTTTTGCTCAATCTTTCACCATTTTTTCTTCAATGAAACAATAATAATAATAATCTTGCTGAGTTACAATATTTTTGGATACAATTTTTTGTATTTCTGAGCATCCATAAACCTTCCCAGGGGTCACGTGAGGTCCCACAAAAAGTTTGGGCCCAATCAGTTGAACTGATTCGACTTTTATTGGTTACAAACAAACAAACATACAAACAGACTGACAGATAAGCAAAGTATATATAATATATATAGATTCAAGGGTGAGGAGAATGACTGTCGAGGATAGAGAGGTTTTACGAGAGGTGTGGGAGGGACGGATACCAACAGTATTCAATCTTGCACAGGAGGATATTCAGGTAGGATATCCAATAGGTATGATATCCAGTAGGTATGATATCCAGTAGGTAGGATATCCAGTAGGTAGTATATCCAGTATGTAGGATATCCAGATTTAAAATTCAGTGATGGTGATGGACCAAACTTCTGTACTCTGTAGAGTAAAAAAGTAGATGTTAGTTCCACATTTATTGAAAATATATTTCGGTCTGGGTTGACCCTCGTCAGTCCTTGAGATTGTTTCTTCACAAAGATTAAAAACAAACTGTGTGTAGAATATCCAGTATGTAGGATATCCAGTAGGTAGAATACACATTAGGTAGGACATCTAGTAGGTAGGATATCCAGTAGGTAGAATATTTAATGTAGGATATCCAGTAGGTAGGATGTTCAGTAAGTGGGATATTCAAGGTAGGATATCCAGTAGGTAGGATATCCAGTAGGTAGGATATCTAGTAGGTAGAATATTCAGAAAAAAAAGTATTTATTAAAAGAATTATAAAAGCTAAAATAGCCATTTTAAATCTTTTTTTTATGTTCTCTTGTTCAAGGATAATGAAGCCCCTGATCCGTTCTATCTGCTCATTCCTCGTATGTCCTACCTACCCCTGGCTACTGTTAAGGTCAGTAAAATATATATATCATATATATAAAAATCTACCATAGTTTGCATTTTGGAAATAAATAATAATGTTAAATTATCAAATTTGTTTGTCAAATTATCAAATTTGTTTGTCAAAGTATCAAACTTGTTTGTCAAATTATCAAATTTGTTTGTCAAATTATCAAATTTAACAAATTTACGGCGGAACTTAAATTTACTGTTTTCGTTACAGTATAGCCTACAGGTCAGGTTACTTTGCTTTCAGGTTGATTGTTGATAATAATAAGAATACCAAATTTACAGGGGTATATATTTTCTTTAAACACCTTGCCATAATCCCCCCTCAGAATCACCCCCCCCCCCACCGGCCAGAGGGGGGGGAATCGCGCAGAGAGGGGTTAGTTCATAAAAAATGTTATTTTTAGAATGAAAAACTTGATTATTTGATATTCTTATTTATACCTTTGCATTCTGCATAGATACATATGCTTGTAATATTTGGATTAAAAAATATATATTATTAATAGGTAAAAATATATTATTACTAGGTAAAAATATATTATTAATAGGTAAATAATAGTATTGGTAAAAATATATTACTATCGAGTAAAATATATTATTTATAGGTAAAAAAATACTTCTCAAAGTATGTTGGAACGGATGCTAGCCAGGATTCTAATATGGAAATATGGTTCGATTATAAAGGTAAATATTTCAATAATTACTGCTTAGGATCTGGATCCATTGTATCTGCTAAAGTCTAGTGGTCCATTTAATTCCATCTGATCAATCCCAAATGTTGATTGATTGATATTAGGGGCAGAAATAAACCATGTTATTATTGTTAACAATTGGAGGTATAATGTCAAGTTGTAGAAAAAATACCATACTGCAGAATGTATATTGAAATTGAGTGTTTATTTTTCTGTATATAATAATTTATCTTTTAACACCCCAAATGCAGTACACGTACACAAAAACTTGTCAAAGTTCACAATGACATATAAAATGTACTTTCATGCCCCTAAATTTACTTTCAACCCCGATCCCATTTGGGATCAGAAATTGAGTACAGTCTAGATTTGCAACCGGATAGAAGTGGCAAATTAGCATCCAAAAATCAATCAACAATGAAAGAACTTAATAATGCAGAACTACGGGATGAATTAATCCTCCTTGGATAAGATATTATTGATACCAGTGCTTTGTATTCGGATCCGCAACATTTTGGCTTCCTGGATCCTTAATTGGTTCCTTAAAAAATATGGGGATTTAGCATAAAAATAAGCAAAAAAGTAAAAATGATTTGAATTTTTTTTTGTCAAGGTGGTTCCAGGACCCGGATCCGCATCAAAATGATATGGATCCTTACCACTGAATTAAAACCCCTTTGGAGTTGGATCTATGACTGGCAGAAAAAATTATGGATTTTTTTGTTGAAAATTTGTAGATTTAAAAAAAATATTGATGAACTGAATCCAGACAGAGGGGTCCACATAAGTCCATCCAGTACGATCTCAAATGCTAATTGATCTGAAGTGTAGTACACAAAAAAACTTGTTAAAGTTCACAATGACACACAAAGTGTATTTGCATGCATCTAAATGTACTTCAAACCCCGATCCCATTTGGAATAAGAAATGGAATTATATGGTCCCCTAAATCCAGATCAAACTTTCATGTACTTTATCTCGCCAAAAAGAATTCCTGTGACAGAAATAAAAATATAATTTTTGTACTCTAATTATCTTGTGATTTAGGAACTCCTTTAAAATGGCATCATCCAATTGGAGCTCTCTTTGACCTATTCAAGGTATTTCTAAACAACAATTTTATTATTATTAATATATTTTATTATTACAACATGTTTATGGGTAAACATTTCGATATACAATGACATATACACTGCAAACTTTCCTTCATACATATCTACGGTTAAGTTAACCCTAAAATTGAATATATCCAGAATTAAAGCCCTAATGTCATACACTTCAAAAAAAATTTCAAACAGGGAGATCGGGGGGGGGGGGGGGGGGTATAAAAGAAATTTCTAAACCTGGCTTTCTTTTTTCTGATGTAAAATGTTAGAATAATTCTCAAAAAAAAATATTCCGGATTTATATTTTGCGTATTTTAGGGAGGAAACTTGGATAATGATGAAGGACTCCCTTGGAGCCTAAATATTCATTTTTCTAATTTTCCAATCCAAGATCTCGTTCCACTCACCTCCAGGAATTCTATTTTTTAATAAAACTTTGTTTTTCTTCAAAACTGAATCTTATCTTTTTTTTAATCAGATAAGTAAGATACAATATTTATTTCAGATGCTAAATTTGTTTAAGTGTTCAGACATAGCTTAAAAATTATCCAACATTTATGTTTCTTAATTGTTTTAACAATTTTTTTATTTTAAAAGTTTTTATGAGAGATAGTTCCAAATTTTACAACATTTTTTTAATAGTAATGCAGTATTTCAATGTTTCCCACTTTGGGATTCTTGGGGCCCATGGACTCTCCCCCAAGTGAATGTTTTGAAAGGTACCTGATAACCTCTTTATACCTATCTTGCACATAGTATCTGAAACGATACAAACTATAATCTAAAACCCCCTTTATCTGAAACATGGTATATATATATAAATGGTATTTATATCATGCCTGACTACAGGTTATTTAACATAGTATTTACAGGTTATTTACAATCACACATGTTTCATAATTATAAAAATAATATTTTTAGTGAAAATGTGGAATCTCATTTTATGTCGAATATAAAGGTAAAAGATCGAGATACAAATCAAACACTGATTGCTGTCAACTATTGCTGACAGAAGACAACTGATATTTGATGACGGACGACAAATGACTTTCTGAAAAAGGCTGACGGCGACTTTTGATGACTAACATCCATCTGAAGGCGACAAACGACAGACTAAAGGCGATTAACACTGATGAAAGCCAATCGACGACGACATTGAAGAATGACTGACTACTGACAGTATTTATGGTTGACAACAATCAAAGGACAACCGACACCTAAAGACAACAATGGCATACAACTGACGACGGATGTTTATGTCAACTGTGCCTGACAACTGACGAAAGACGACCGCCGACTGACGAAAGACGACCGACGACTGACGAGTGAAGACTGATGTTCAGGAAGCCGATCAGTTGAAGCATGCTGGACGTGTTGTATCAACTATGCAGAAGAAAGATCATCTTCAACTGTGGTCAGGTAGCACCAACTGTGGTCAGGTAGCACCAACTGTGGTCAGGTAGCACCAACTGTGGTCAGCTAGCACCAACTGTTTTGATTATAATAAAAAGATAATTGTCTTAAAACATCATTTAAAAGGGGAATATTTGCAAATTATCTTTTTTAAATACTATGATATGAGTTTTTTCTTTTTTCCCATCTGACAGCCCTTTGTTTTTGAAAAACTTTTTTATAAACGTTATGTTGTAGTTAGAACTGACGAGGGTCAAACCAGACCGAAATATATTTTCATAAAATCTATATTAAAATCTATATTATCTATATTAACTTTATGAGGTTCGGTCCATCATCAATACCAAATTTTAAATCTGTTTCGATTAGTAACCCTATCACGATTTTTCTAATGAGCAGGCCTTGCAAAGTTGGACTAGGGACATGTATCACACTCCCCTATCTCAACTCGAAGGGCAAAATCATAGGGGGGTTGATATTATGAAAAATAACAACCATATTTTCTCATTGCTGCGGCTCAGATAACGTTGTTAAGGGTGAATCAAAACAACCATATTTTCTCATTGCTGCGGCTCAGATAAAGGTGTAAAGAGTGAATCAAAACAACCATATTTTCTCATTGCTGCAGCTCAGATAAAGGTGTAAAGGGTGAATCAAAACAACCATATTTTCTCATTGATGCGGCTCAGATAACGTTGTTAAGGGTGAATCAAAACAACCGTATTTTCTCATTGCTGCTGCTCAGATAAAGGTGTAAAGGGTGAATCAAAACAACCATTTTTTCTCATTGCTGCGGCTCAGATAAAGATGTAAAGGGTACAAATTGTGAATCAGACAATTGATGGTCACATGAAAGTTGGTTAACACCATATGTTTGAAAATTTAAAAAAATAGTTTGAAGTTTTTTTTTTGATCCAGGTTTGCAGAATGACAAGTTTGATCAGTTCTGGGCAATTAACAGAAAATTCATGTTTTCCGGGGAGGAGAACTTCAAACACATTCCTATTCGGTAAAAAAAATTGATTATAGAGAAACATTTTATTTATGATTGATAAAAGATGACAAAAACTTATAAAAACGGATACAAGCTGATAGTAACTGATTACAACTGATCACAAATGAGAAAATCTAAAAAAAAAACTGATGAAAACTGATAAAAACTGATTAAAACTGATGACAACTGATAAAAACTGATTAAATTGAAAAGAACCGATAAAAAACAGATATTTTACTGAAATTTATTTTAAAACCAAATTTTTTTTCGTCAAAGTGATAAAATGTACAACATTATTTTAATAAGCTATATAATAAAACAATACAATCGTAAATATGTTCCCAATTGCCGGCAAAACAGCTTAAACCCAAATGGTCTGACATTTTTTGGACACTCATGGGTAGCCTTGGGGTGAAATAGGCTATAAAAACTAGAATTTATTTTTTTTTGTTTTAAATCAGAATTTTTTTTCAATTTTTTTTTTAAAATACCACGTGCAACGCCGAGCCCATCTGCTAGTATTACATATATTTATAGAAGATTAAAAGTGATATAAATTGCTCAATTTCATTGACTAATTGACTATTAAAATTGCTAGATTAAAATAATAAAATTGAATATTAAGATTGATAAATAATTACAAGTTGAAATAATATAATTAAAATTGATAAAATTTTGACGACTCTACAAAAAAAAAAAAAAAATAAGAAATGGAGTTTAAAAAATGGAAATTAATTAATTTTATTTTGAAGAATAAAAATTATTAAAAATCAATTTAAATGGTGATAAGATTGATTAAAGTTGTTGGACTGATTCAATTGACACAATCTCATACTTCTTGATCCATTAAGTCAAAAAAAGTTCTGTACCTCTTTTCCAATTTTTCTTCCACATCCTCAATAGCCGTTTATTTCTAGGTTCCTGCAGCAAAGTAATCAGAATGTGATTCAGAAACTGGTAAAACCTATCAGGGACATAAACCAGAAATATTTTCTTCAACAAAAATACGCCAAATTCGATTTTTGTTCAGTCAAGAAGAAAAACATTTAATTTGATAAACATGTCACAACTTATCATGATCTAAAATCCCTTAAACTTTTTATATAAGCAAAATAAGTCGTCATGTTATATCCATCCCTCTACATCAACATCGATACCCATTAAATAGCGAAATCAACATTGTTCTTAAACATGACTCCGTTTGCTTCCAAATCCTAGATTAGGGAAAAGAGACCTAGGTAAATTTTCGTCGCCGTTTTTTCGTCATCGTAGATTTTTGATGTCGTACGTACTTGGAAGTTGAATTAAGGGCAGAGGGTCGCTGAATAGTGAAGACATTGATTCTTCAGTTTTCACGTAGAAAAGATGTTTAGAAAATGGAAAGAGATTGAGCAAGCCCCGAAAGGAAACAGTATACATTGCAGGAAATGACTTGTGTAGCACACATTATAGCTTACACAATTTGTACATCTCCATTATTACAATTTAGTTTTTGTTTTGCTTCTGTAGACAGTAAATTTAAGAAACTGTTCACGTTTTCTATTTGGATAAAGATGGATTTATTTTGTCCAGTGATTCTACAGGATCTCTTCTAACATTCCAGGAACTAAAACAGTTGTACTATCCTTCATCTACTCTTCTTACTCAGGTTAATAACAAGATTTTAGGGGACAGGACACACAGGACTAGACATTAGACACTAGACATACAGAACAAGAAGAAACTCCTCTATCTACTCTTCTTACTCATCAGGTTAATACCAAGATTTTAGGGGACAGGACACACAGGACTAGACAGTAGACACTAGACATACAGAACAAGAAGAAACTATGCTTTATCTACTCTTCTTACTCATCAGGTTAATACCAAGATTTTAGGGGACAGGACACACAGGACTTGACATTAGACACTATACATACAGAACAAGAAGAAACTATGCTTTATCTACTCTTCTTACTCAGGTTAATACCAAGATTTTAGGGGACAGGACACACAGGACTAGACATTAGACACTATACATACAGAACAAGAAGAAACTATGCTTTATCTACTCTTCTTACTCATCAGGTTAATACCAAGATTTTAGGGGACAGGACACACAGGACTAGACAGTAGACACTAGACATACAGAACAAGAAGAAACTATGCTTTATCTACTCTTCTTACTCATCAGGTTAATACCAAGATTTTAGGGGACAGGACACACAGGACTTGACATTAGACACTAGACATACAGAACAAGAAGAAACTATGGGGGAAGAAAATTGAAACAAAATTGAATTCTTTTCCCTTTTTTTCTAGTTGTGGGGAAGAAAATTCAAACGTAATTAAAATTTCTTCTTTTTCTAGTTTTCTTAGATAATAGTTTTTTTCTTCTTCTCTCGTTTTACACTTTTTTTTGATTATTCTTTCCTGTTTGGTCATTTTTTGATTAAAGGGAGTGACCGGCAATGTATGGTGGTTGAACTGAGAATGCAGTCTTGTAGAGACATTTTTTAGGATTCATTTAAGACACATAAAACGTTTTAAAGATCTATAATTACTGAGTTTGAATGCAAAGTCGATGTTCAAAATCATCAGCTAATAAGATGTTTAGGAACATATTTTTCAAAAGAAATTTGTCAATAAATCAATGTTAGAATCAATATTGAATTTCTTATTTTCTATGAATTTGTTCGCAGATTTCTACAATTTCTTCAAATGCCGTCTTTTCAATAAAAATTCAAGAAAATCTGCAGAAATCTTTGTAAATAATGAGAGATTATAGAAACTAATAATTGAATAAGATTACTTATTTTCGATGATAAAAGTTGATTTTTATTTTCTCAATTTGTCCCTAAACAACTAATTAGTTTACTGTTGAATTTATTTTTTACTTTTTTGTCGTCGTTATTTACTAATTAAAAAAAACGTTTCTCAAGAAGTAATCACCCAAATTGATAATTTGAACGTCGACTTTGCGCTCAAACTCAGTAATTAATAATTAATTAATAACTACCATACATTGTCGGTCACTCGCCATAAGAATGAATAAGAATGAATTTATCTAGGGTGTAGTACCTGCACCTGATACTCCTGTTCAATGGCTCTCTCGGCATCTCTCTTACCCAGACAATTTCCTCCATATAATTGTACACCCGGAGTAATAAATACTAATGTTTATGTACAGTTTTACAGCTGTACGGTACTACCAAACAGATGTACACTAAAAGCTTTTATTATGCTGTTGTCATTCTTTTTTAGCAACAGATTCAAATGCATTTTATTCCGTGAACAGCTTATATTGAAGTTTATTACGACATTTTCAGATATTTTTTATTCATCTGAAAGAGACTGTCGACGATATTTTAAGTGACCAGTCCTTAAAACAGTACAACAGTACACTTCAAATCTAAATTACGTAGATATCGTTTTCCTATCTAATCTTTAAAAAAATTGTTTAATATCAGGCCTGTAGATTTTAAAATGCAGGTCGCGTGAAACTACGCCAACAGTCCCTTTAAGTAAATTGTTGTAAGGCAAAGTTTAGGTTTCCTTGTGATATTTATTTATTCTAATTTCAGATATAAAAAACCTAAATAATGGCGGGAAATGTCCCGAAGAGCAGGGGGATGTTTCAATATGTTTTTAAACATTTGATGGATTCATTCAAAGTTGGAAAGGTATTAAAGGGGATGGTGGAGATGGCACATTTGAATTTTATTTTGATGACCTCTAATGACCTCCACAAATAGAAAATATTTCAACATTTTCATTTTTGGAGGTCATTTAGGTCATTAGAGGTCATTAGAAGGTCAAACACTGGATTTGTTGCTGCTACTGTATACCCTGGGTTCCTAGCTTTCGTTTGATATGCATAAAGCCATAGTTGAAATATTTTCTATTTGTGGAGGTCATTAGAGGTCATTAGAGGTCATTAGAGGTCATTAAAATTCAATTTGATTTTATTATAGGAATTTCGAACCCTAATTAGGCGCGCACCCAAAAAATTGGAAGATTTGAACCAAAAATGAAGGCAGGGCCCCCCCCCCTCCCTACATCAAATGTGCCATCTCCACCATCCCCTTTAAAGATTTAAATAACATTTTATCAATGTTTGTTCACCGTTGCCGGTTTTAGAATAATTTTTTCTTTATTCTAACTTCTTTGAACATACTCGCGAAGCTAAAACTAATGTCTGAAATTGACAAATCTATATTGAAAATGGGGCTGTATATAATTTTACTATTATCACTTACTGACATTTTGAGCATCATGGCACTGTGCTTATTTTGCTGCTTTTCACCCATTTGGAAACTGAATAATAAATTTTGAAGATGTCTGTGGTTTTCAGTCCTTTCTATCTCTCTTAATTTTAGAGGGAGAAAGTTGGGACGATAATTGGACGAGATCCATATGGTAATATTTACTACGAACTACCGGCGCAACCCCAGCTAGGGAAAAGACGACCTACAAGGTTAGTTATAAAAGACGAGCTATTAGGTTAGTTATTAAAGTCGACCTACAAGATTAGTTATTAAAGAAGACCGATCAGGTTAGTTGTTACAGACGACCTAAAAGGTTAGTTATTAAAGACGATCTATCAGGTTAGTTATTAAAGACGACCTAAAAGGTTAGTTTTCTTCAAAACTACTAACTATATTTTTAGTTTTCAAAGACTGCCAACAAAGTTTTTTTTAAAAGCCGAACTACAATGTTATTTATAAACGTTACATAATCTAGGCTTCCACGAGGCTTTGTGTCCCTTTTTCAGTAACAATTTTAGCATGTTTACTGTTGCTAAGTCTTAAAGCTGCCATTTATCGTATTTCGCGGATTTCGTGTTTAACTTTGCGCCTTTTCAAAAATAATAAACAAGTTTTTTCATTTTTACGTTTATCAGATATAAACAAACAGACAGACAAGCAAAGTATATACGTAGATTGTTTAACTTTTAAAGACGACATACATGTAGAGTTGTAGTGCAGACCTACTAGAATTCTCAAACGATTATTGGATCAAATTTGTAAAATTGATTAAAATGAGTACGAGTAGTAAGTTAAACAAATATTCAAAATTAACAAAATTGATGAAATTTCTGGATTAAAGATGGTACAGTGCAGCGGAAGCGACCAATGATGCCAAGAATAAAGAAGTTTGGACAGGATTTGATTCAGATCTTCCCTCCGAGTGGGAGAGCTGGCTCCGGTTTCGGAGGAACGAGGCTCCGACTGAGGAGGAGGTTATGCAGGTACTGGATACTTTAAAGGAGTGTTCATTTTATTTGAAGTGAAACAAGGTTATCCGAGTTTATGATTGGATTGTCTAGATCTGCCTATAATCATTAACCTTTAAAAGAATTTTAATAATTACAATTTTGATTTTCCAAAAACAGAAATTTTTTTCCGAAATCCTAAAACTGCCAATTGAATTTTGGACCCAATGTAAAAAGCAGGTTTACGATTTTTGATTACTATGAAAACGTTTAAGAAACAAATGTTATATATGTTTTTACCCCTTGAATTGATTAAGTTTGAAAATTTTAATTTATTGTTTTGTTTTCTGCAGCTCAATAATTAAGTGTTAGTCCGACCTAGAGTTGTTGAAAATTAATAAATTGAACCATTTTCCCACTGAGACTAGAGTTGAGAAATCTTGTTTTAGTTACCCGGCATAATTCCGATCAATTGATATTGATTTTCACAGTGGCACTTTCAAATTGTCTTGATATTGGATATCCGCAATTTCTCTGATCTCTCATTGGTTGAGCGCAAAATTTGTTACTTCTGATTGGCTGTTCGTTTTCTACACATCACAGGATATTGAATAAAGAAATAATTAATCTGAGCTGGGAACTTTTGAATGATGAATATCGGGATTAATGCTTGATCCACTATTTTTCTTAATTTCGAGATTAAATATTGCTTGTTCTCCTCTTCTTATTAATCTCCAGATTGATTTTTCGATTGAGATTAAGGATATCCTATTCTAAAGTTTCCAGCTCTGGAGATTTACAAAAGATTAAGATAAATGTTTAATTATTTTCAGAGTTTGGCTCTGGCTGAACTAAAGAAGTTAAATGCTGCCAAACTTGAAGAGAAAAGAAGAACAGAGATGCAAGCTGCAGGAATTGATTCAGGACCTCCAAAACCACAGGTACTTTTAGGGACTAGATTCAGGACCTGCAAAACCACAGGTACTTTTAGGGACTAGATTCAGGACCTGCAAAACCCCAGGTAATCGTATGGACTAGATTCAGGACCTCCAAAATCTTAGGTACTTTCATGGACTAGATTCAGGACCTCCTAATTCCCAGGTACTTTCATGGGCTAGATTCAGGACCTCCAAAATTCCAGGTACTTTTAGGGACTAGATTCAGGACCTCCAAAACCACAGGTACTTTCATGGACTAGATTCAGGACCTCCAAAATCCCAGGTACTTTCATGGACTAGATTCAGGACCTCCAAAATCCCAGGTACTTTCATGGACTAGAACCAGGAACCAGGGGTTTATATTTTCCAAAAAAATTATTCCCCTCCTTTAATCAGTTTTTTCCTCAGATGTTATTTAAGTTTTTAGTTTTTTTCGCTGAATTGAGGAAAATAAATGACTTTTTGGGTAAAACCAAATCAACAAAAGTCTTTTTTCCTTTCCCCCGGGGGGGGGGGGGGGGGGGGTAATCTGAAAAATATTCACCCCAGGCACAAGCTTAGGACTAACCTCTCTTAAATAATCTGAGCTGGGAACTGTAGAATAGGATATCCTTAATCCCGATCGGTTAATTATTCTGGAGATTGATAACAAGAGGAGAATGAGCCTTATTTAATATGGAGATTAGGGAAAAGGGTGGATCAAGCATTAATCCAATCCCGGTGTCTACCATTCAAAAGTTCCCAGCTCTGATCCTTTTATATAATTATTTTAAAACTTTTTTCGTCTTTTTAAACCATAAAGTATTTTGAAAAAGAACTTTCCGACCACCCGATGTCAATCATTAAAAGAAATATTTTTATCCCTACTTCTGACGAACGTTCGTTTTCCGAATGATGGTCAATTTTGAAATTTCCAAAATTTCTTATCTTTACTATAATCCATGCAGGATTTAGTTACTTAATTAAGTTCGATTCACTTTTTGTGTTACTTTCTCTTTACTGGCTGGTACCTACTGGACCGGTCAGGACTGGCTGGTACCTACTGGACCGGTCAAGACTGGCTGGTACCTACAGGACCGGTCAGGACTGGCTGGTACTTACAGGACCGGTTAGGTCTGGCTGGTACCTACAGGACCGGTCAGGACTGGCTGGTAACTACAGGACCGGTCAAGAGGTCTGGCTGGTACCTACAGGACCGGTCAGGACTGGCTGGTACTTACAGGACCGGTTAGGTCTGGCTGGTACCTACAGGACCGGTCAGGACTGGCTGGTAACTACAGGACCGGTCAGGACTGGCTGGTACCTACAGGACCGGTCAGGACTGGCTGGTACCTACAGGAGCGGTCAGGACTGGCCAGGGAATAGGAATAAAGGGAAAGGAAATGGCGCTGGTCTGGCATGAGAAACCCAGTCGCACTGCTTTGCAGACCAGTACGGTAACCTTACACACACTCATCTGGTACAGACACACAACATGATTACCGTCAAGGAAATTGCAGAACAATGTCGTCAATTATAATTAAACTTGAATAACGAGTAGTTTATTGTGAATAATATATTAAATTCATATTAAACTTATTTTTAAGTAAACAATTAACAATAAAAAATGTACTCTCCTAGACTGTATACAAATACAGAGGTTCTTACGTACTGTATAAACCTACAGTACACACCTTTGGTACGGTAACCTTACACTGGTACAGACACAACACACATGACGTTTCCGCCCCCTGGGACTGGCTGGTACCTACAGGACCGGTCAGGACTGGCTGGTACCTACAGGACCGGTCAGGACTGGCTGGTACCTACAGGACCGGTTAGGATCTGGAAAGTATGCTGCTGGTTTTAAGAAAACCTGCCTTTTAACTTGACTCTCGCCTGGTCCTTCACACTTTGTTACTTGGAAACATGTGTGCCAATAATACCCTGCCAACCGTAATGGTGGTGCGGTTGGATAAGAGCTTAACCCTGACTTCTACAGGATGATGGTTGATCATTTTATTTATTTATTTAATAATCCTTTCAGGACCATGAGAAGACTCCCTACCCTAAATATGCCAACTACGAAGTGATGCCCGGGGAGAGTGAAAATGAGACCAAGTAAGTTTTCTGTCTAAATTCAAAAATATTTTTTGAAATATTATTTCCCTTCTCCTCTGCAAGTTAAATTTTAGTATTTTTTTTTCAATGAATTGGAGAAAAAAAAACTTTTAAAGGGAGTGACCGGCTATGTAAGGTAGTTGAACTGAGTATGCAGTGTTGTGGAAAAATTCTTTCGGAATCATTTGAGACATATTTTAAAGATCTGTAAATCCTCAGCTTGAGCGCAAATTTGACGTTTAAAACTCCTACTTTGGGGGTGGATACGTTTTCAGAATTATTTTTTTTTAATTATTAAACCCCGTGGACACGTTGTTTCAACGGTCAGGAGCGCCGACCCCTATTTCATTGAATGATGGGTTGTCCTTTAATAATAATAATAATAATTAAATAACGACGACATAAAATGTTAACAAATTCTACAGTAAACTTATTAGTTGTTTAGGAACAGGTTGAGAAAATAAAAATTAATCTTATCATCGAAAATAAGTAATCTTGTTCAATTATTGGTTTCTATTTTCTCATTATTCTGGTTTCTTATTATTCACAAAGATTTTCTACGGATTTTCTAGAATTATTATTGAAACGACGACATTTGAAGAAATTGAAGAAATCTGCGAATTAATTCAAAGAAAATAAGAAATTCATTACTATGATGAAAACGAAATAATTGATTCTAGCATTGATTTATTGACAAATTTCTTTTGAGAAATATATTCCTAACCATCTAATTACTAATTAGCTTACTGTATAATTTTTGCTTTATTTTTCGTCGTCGTTATTTAATAAAGAAGCTAATTCTGAAAACGTATCAACCCCCACAGTAAGAGTTTTGAACTTCGAATTTGCGCTCAAACTCAGGATTTACAGATGTTTAAAAAGTTTTATATACATCAAATGAATCCGAAAGAAGTTTTCCACAACACTGCATACTCTGTTCGACTACCTTACATAGCCGGTCACTCCCTTTAAAGCAACGAGAAAAAGCCAAACTTTTATTTCTACCAAAATGATCAAAATTATCTCCATAAAAATTCTTATAATTAATAAATTCTTTACAAAATAAGAAATTAAATACATTTTTCTTGGTTTTTGATGATAATAGTAGAAAATTTATTAAAGATTTTTTGAACACAATTTATGTAAAGAAAACAAAATAAGGGAAGGGGAAAAGGGGAAGTGGTTGGGTTGAGATAGGTTGTATGGAAGTGGGAAGATCTTTATAAGATTTTGATGAAAACATTTCCTTACATTATATATTATTTGTAGGGATAAGTGGAAGAAGTACAAGAATCCGTATATGAAAGAGTGAACATTCAGCACTTCAGTTTTCTTTCAGTCCGACTAGAACACAATTATTTATCAACATAAATCATCAATTTTTTTGCATGAAAAAAAATCCGCGAAATATGTTAAATTGCACCTCGTAATAGTGCAGCGTATGAAGAATATATGTATAGTTCAAAATTCATGCTGGAAAAAGCCACATATCAAAAAAATTCAGAAACCTTGACAATTTTGAGACAACCCCCCAACCTAAAGGGACTGTATGCGTAATTTCAAGTGACCTTACATGCAAAGATAGCAATGCCCGATTCACAACGGTACCCTTAAAAACTTTTAAAATTCGGTGATGGTGATGGACCAAACCTCTGTAGAGTAGAAAAGCAGATGTTAGTTCCACATTTATTGAAAATATATTTCGGTCTGGGTTGACCCTCGTCAGTTCTAACGATATAATAACCATCAAAATTGAGAAATTTTTTTTTTTTAAATGTAAAAAATCACAAGAACAGAAACAAACAAAAAAGATTATTCAAAATAAAAATTTGGGCTGTCAAATGGACATAAGGGAAACGAAGTCAGATTATTAGATGGAAAAAAGATAATTTGTAAATATTTACTTTAAAAAAAAATGTTTTAAGACTTTAAGACTTAAAAACTTTGTCTGATTAAGTCAATATTCATAATTTTGAAAACTGTTAATTTTCAGTTCTGGGGTTTCTCAAAAAGAATTCCGTATTTGGCAGATTTAAACTAATAAACCTTTAAAAACGACAATATCACCCACATTTTGATCAGAGAATATGAAATTACGCGTACAATCCCTTTAATTTTAGAAAAAATGCGAAGCTTTCTCATGATAATTATTGATATTAAAACTAGAAATAAAATTGTTATATTTCCAGAATATTATTGTTTATACAAGATGTCGGGTGGGAAGGATGGTGGCGAAGAACGAAATCTTGGAGACGAAGGACAAAATGGTAAGAACCGGTGACTTAGATTTTGTTGAATTAATTGAAGGATCTTTTAATAGATTTTTTTTGTTAATTATTTTATCACTAGGCTTTTCAAAATTACAAAAATAAAAAACTTCTGAACACAGATTAAATTTTTTTTGAACATTCATAAACCTTCCCTGGGGTCACGAGAGGTCCCACACAAAATTTAGGTCTAATTGGTTCAGCCGTTTTGACGTTTATTGGATACAAACAAACAAACAGACGCCCAAACAGACAGACAAGCCAAATTTATATATAGATGGATAAAGAAGACGACTTTTGAATTAAATTTTCATATAAACTTAGCTGTTAAACAGCATGGATGCACAAAAATATGAAAGCCAAGAAAAATTTTAAATTAAAAAAGCTTTTTTCACTACTTGCATTGCAGACTTGTAATTCGAAGAAACCTTGTTAATTATCAAAACTTAAATAAAAATTCGTCTTCATTTTAGTGATATAAACGCTTGCCACCGTATAGATATATTCTTAAAGTTTCTCCAACTATAATTTAAAAAGAATATTTCGGATCAAAATTTTGGTGTATTTTTCACTATATGGATCCGGATCCAGATTCAATAAGCCGGAATTTCTTGAAACTATTGGACTTAAGGAGACTAAGAATGAAATTTCACGTTGCTTTCTAATAATAATGAGGCATTACCAATTTACAATAGTTCTGCTATCTTGACATTTTTTTATATTCAATTGTGGGTATTCTTGCGGAATGCGGATTGATGCAACATTGGAGGAAATTGTCAGAATTCAACAGTTTCCTAATTTTTACTTTCATGAAGGTTTCAGGGATGTAGATGTGAATTTGGCATCTCTTTCTGTAATCAAGGGTTTATTGAGAATTATTGAAGGCCTGGAACAAAAATCTGAAAAAGTCTAGATCTAGATATAAGAACTTATATTGACTCTTGAACCCAGTGTTTAGTATCCATTTGATTTTGATGCGGATCCGTACTGTAAAAAATGAATCCGGATCCAGGTTATTAACATTTCTTTAAGATTTACCAATTTTTTGGAACAGAAGAATTTTCAATTTATTTTTCCTCTTTTTTCGCTTATTTTTATGCTTAAACTTAATGAACCCTACAGAGATAAGGCAGTTTTTGATAATCTCTTGTAACATTTCAGGTTTGGGTTTTGAAAGCAAAAGATGTTTTTGCAGTTTTTTCTTGACATTTTGACTCTTGAATCCGGATCGTATATTTTTGTGGATCCAAGCCGAAGTGTTGCGGATCCGAGTCTTAAGCACTACTTGACCTTTGAATTATTTTGTAGATGAAAGTGTTGGTAACACCAACCCTAATTCATCAGCTTCAGTAATCAACGCTTCTACAGCTTCCAGCAAACCTCCCACAGCCTCTGTATCATCTAGTAAACCTCCTCCAGCCTCGGTAACCTCGGTTGCCTCTATAAGTATTAACCCCTCAGAAGTATCCTCTAAGATAACCGCAGGTAATTCAATAGTTGTTTAATTGTATGCTTCTGAATTAAAAGGGGCTGTAAGCATAATTTAATTGAAAGATGGCAATTTCGATTTACAATAATACCCTTGAAACCTTAATTTCATCAATTTTGTGGAAGATAATGTTTTTTCTAACTCAAAGTGTTCACTTATGTGAGTTTCTCCATCGTTTCTTACAAACCAGAAATCCGCAAGAAATGAATATAAGCAGTTTAAAGAAACGAACAGATTGAGATCTATTTCATATTTTATTAGATCAAGCTTTCAAGGGTACCGTTGTAAATTAGGCCTTGCCATCTTTGCATGGAGGGTCACTTAAAATAACGCTTACAGTCCCTTTAATTATGATGTTGAATTTCCACTTCCCCGCCTCTCTACACTGATGGGCTCAGGGGTGTATTTTTTTCTGAAAATCATTCCCGAAGGAGGAATTTTCCCCCTCTTGTGAAAATAATTTTTTTTCTTCAGAAGTTGGGTATAGTTTGGCGTAGCGCAAAGACTTCTGAGTTTTAAGTATGAAAAGGGATTGAAAAAACTCTCATGTCCAATTTTTTTTCCCAACAGATCTCCAACAATCATTCCCCCTCCCCCTCCCAGGGCAGGGGGAACTCTTAAAAATATACACCCCTGGATGGACTTCTTGAAACCCTTATAAGTTAATACTCATACTCAATTTTATTATCAACTGCTATTATGTAAAAATAGCTAAATATCACTGTGCTTTGTACGGTAGTGCTGCAAAGTTTAATTGGTTCATGGGTTAAATATATTATGGAGATTGGAGAACATCAATCATTGAACGATGGTTTGTCCTTTAATAATAATAATATGGCCTGTTCGTAAAGAAGTTTTTTTTATCATTTAACAAGCAAAAGTGGTTCTTTAAAGTCAATCTGCATTCTACGATCCAAAGACAACATGTCAGGGTACATTGTACATTGTACATGGATTGGAAGATTTAAGCCTCAAAACATCCAAGAAGAAATTCTGTCACATAACATTTTCAAAAAAAATATTACCTATACAGTATAATACAATCAAGAAGATATAAAATAAATTTTTATTTTTTAAGGATATTTTTTTTGTCCCCAGGACATGATCGGGTTGTAGCGATCAGATCTCGGAATTTTTCTATTGCGAACGTTTGTTGTTTTTTGGGGTTATATATAGAACTACCAGGGGTTGTAATGTGGCAGCACATTGATTTTGTTATTACTGCTATGTACTTAACGCTTGTTATATTCATATCTAGAAATCCTTAAAGGGAGTGACCGGCTATGTAAGGTAGTTGAACTGAGTATGAAGTGTTGTGGAAAACTTCTTTCGGATTCATTTGAAACATATTAAACTTTTTAAAGATCTGTAAATCCTGATTTTGAGCGCAAATTCGACGTTCAAAACTCCTACTTTGGGGTGGAAACGTTTTCAGAACTATTTTTTCTAAAATTATTAAATAACTACCTTACAAAGCCGGTCACTCCCTTTAAACCTTGATAACACGGCGAAACAAAATAAAAGTGTTGAAAATAGTTTCCTTTTTGTTTAGAGCAGGATGGTAGTGGAGAGGAGAGTGAGGAGGAGAACGAGGTTCTTGAAGAGTCTCCTTGTGGAAGATGGAGAAAACTCAGGAGTAAGGTAAAAAAAAATGGTTCTTAAGTATTTGTCAAATTAACTTAAAAACTTAATATCTAATTCAAGATTGAACAGACAAAGCTTTTAAGGGTACACTTTTGAATCGTGTCTGGCCATTTTTGTTTTGGAGGTTCACTTGAATTTACACTTACAGTCCCTTGAGCTAGGTGAGTTACCGGGATGTCCCCGGGATCGACTGTGCGTACCTCGCAATGGATACCGAGGAGGGGGTGGAGGTTGTCTGGAATGAAGCAACATTCTCGGAAACTAAAAAATTTAAGGTAGTATTTGTATTATTCACAGCAGAGTGCAGGAGTGTTTATTTTCTTGAAAAATCATTTACCCCAATCCCCCTTTGTAAATCATTTCCTTCCTTCCAAATGTTAATATGTGGCATGTTTGCGCGGAGCTGAAGTAGGAAAAATATAAGGGAAATTTTTTTTCGTATTTGCCTTTTCATTATTGCACAGGAATGTCAAGTATCACCTATCCACCCGTTCGCACAGTTTTTTTTAATTTCTATTTGTAGAAAGTTCGTTTGTGTTTTTTTTACCAGTTTTATCCCTAAAATATTTTACGCATAACTTTGTTTTTAAAAGACATTGCCTTTTCTATCTTCTAACATTTCTATCAAAACATTCTTAAGTTTCATCCTATCAAATAAATTAACTAACTGCTTATTTAGGGATCTTTTTGCTGAAAGTTTTGGTATGAATTATTGGAAAAGTTTTAAGAAACGGGAAAGAACTTGCGAATTACTGTCTGATTGCATTAACAATTAAAATACGTGACTTCTTTTGCATTATTGGATTATATTTTTTGAAATATTAGATACTAGGCTTTTAGGGCGCTTCGCGTCCATCTTCTTTTTCAACTTTTAATTGTGGCTTTATCTGAGAGCATCTTCTCTTTTTACAGTTTAATTTTTTTTTATATTCGGATTTTAAAATATTTTTTCTCGCATTTTCAAAATTTTACAAACTTAAATAATTTAAGATAAAAATATTTTAACATTACATAATAAAAGTCTGATTGGCCATAAATCTTCCCTGGGGCCACGTGAGGTCACAAAATTTAGACCTGATCGGTTTGGGTAGGTTTGACGTTTATTGGATACAAACAAACAGACAAACACCCAAACTGACAAGCTAAATTTATATATAGATAATTAAGTTCTGATAATTAGCATACAAACAGACAGACAATAATATTCATTTGTTTCAGGCTACAGAAGACAAGTTAAAGAATGTATTTGAAGCTCTAACTCTCATTGATCATCCGAATATTGTGAAATTTCACAGGTACGTTAGTATTTTTTCATTTTAAAAGGGTAAAAGAAAGATAGATAGATATATTTTGGCTAAAATTATAATTTGTAAGTTTTAAATTTTATAATTTATAAATAAATGATAACCAGCTAGGGCTACAGTTTTGATTGACTGGCCCTCAGAAGTTTATACGTAATAGTTTTATAATTGAACCAAATGAGATATCATGTCATTTTTTCAAGAACTTTTCAAATCAATTAGAATAAAAAACTGCGATTCAGAACAAGCACTCATAACTCCTTTATATTCTGTCATCGCTGCATCAAACCGTAATAACTCCTTTTTATTCTGTCACCGCTGCATCAAACCGCAATAACTCCTTTATATTCTGTCATCGCTGCATCTAACAGTAATAACTCCTTTATATTCTGTCATCGCTGCATCAAACCGTAATAACTCCTTTATATTCTGTCATCGCTGCATCAGACCGTAATAACTCCATTATATTCTGTCATCGCTGCATCAAACCGTAATAACTCCTTTATATTCTGTCATCACTGCATCAAACCACAATAACTCCTTTTTATTCTGTCACCGCTGCATCAAACCGCAATAACTCCTTTATATTCTGTCATCGCTGCATCTAACCGTAATAACTCCTTTATATTCTGTCATCGCTGCATCAAACCGTAATAACTCCTTTATGATCTGTCATCGCTGCATCAAACCGTAATAACTCCTTTATATTCTGTCATCGCTGCATCAAACCGCAATAACTCCTTTATATTCTGTCATCGCTGCATCTAACCGTAATAACTCCTTTATATTCTGTCATCGCTGCATCAAACTGCAATAACTCCTTTATATTCTTTCACCGCTGCATCAAAACACAATTACTCCTTTATATTCTGTCATCGCTGCATCAAACCACAATTACTCCTTTATATTCCATCACCGCTGCATCAAACCACAATAACTCCGTTATATTCTGTCATCACTGCATCAAACCACAATAACTCCTTTATATTCTGTCACCGCTGCATCAAACTGCAATAAATCCTTTATATTCTGTCATCGCTGCATCAAACCACAATAACTCCTTTATATTCTGTCACCGCTGCATCAAACCACAATTATTCCTTTATATTCTGTCATCGCTGCATCAAACCGCAATAACTCCTTTATGTTCTGTCATCGCTGCATCTAACCGTAATAACTCCTTTATATTCTGTCACCGCTGCATCAAACCGCAATTACTCCTTTATATTCTGTCATCACTGCATCAAACCGCAATAACTCCTCTATCTTCTGTCATCGCTGCATCAAACCGCAATAACTCCTTTATATTCTGTCATCGCTGCATTAAACCACAATAACTCCTTTATATTCTGTCATCACTGCATCAAACCGCAATAACTCCTTTATATTCTGTCATCACTGCATCAAACCACAATAACTCCTTTATATTCTGTCACCGCTGCATCAAACCGCAATAACTCCTTTATATT